CAATCAACTAGGTCATAGGCCTTCTCTAAATCTAGTTTGCAGACCACACCCTTCTTCTTGGACTTCTTGAAACTTTCCAAACTCTCATTTGCAATCAAGATTTGATCAGTGATCTGCCTCCCCTTCACAAACGCTCCTTGATTGGGTGCAATAGTAGAAGGAAGAACTTTCTTTATTCTTAGAGACAACACTTTTGCAATTACCTTATACAGACTATGCACCAAACTGATAGGTCTAAAATCCTTAGGGTGTGAAGCCTCTTTCTTCTTCGAGATCAAAGCAATAAAAGTGGACTTTAAGCTCCGATTGATTATTCCCCTCCTATGAAATTCCTCAAAGACCCGCATAATATCCTGCTTCACAATATTCCAGCAATCCTGATAAAAAGCCATTGTGAATCCATCTGGGCCTGGAACTTTTGTCCTATCCATCATAAACACTGCCTCCTTGATCTCCTCTATATCAAAAACCTTCTCGAACCCCTCCCTATCCGCTACACTTAGAGTACGCCAATCCAGCCCTTCCAGTCAAACCCTCACATTTACCGGCCTTCTGAAAATAGATTTAAAATGATTTACAAAGGCCTTTGCTATTTCTGCTTGGTGGGAAATTACTTCACCTTCGACTTCCAATTTTGAAAGAAGTTCTTCCTTCTTCTGCTATTTGCCAAAGAATGGAAAAACCATGTGTTTTTGTCTCCCTCCTTTAACCATTTTCACCTAGATTTTTGTCTCCAACTTATTTCCTCCTGGAGCAAAAGGTCTTCCATCTGCCTCCTCACACTCCATTTCAACTCTCAGTCTTCCTCTCCAAAGGGACCCCTTACTTCCTTYAAATCCAAGTCCTCTAATTGTTCTAGCAAAGTCTGTTTTCTTTCCTCCAATCTTCCAAACTCCAGCCGGTTCCACTCCTTTATCTTGGATTTTAGAAATTGAAGCTTCTTGTGGATTTTCATACCCTCCCCACTCTACTGATAGATTACATTGCTCTCACCAGTCTCTGATTTTCTCAATGAATCCCGGATGAGCCAGCCACATGTTCTCAAACCTAAAGGGGGTAGGTCCATCTCCTCTTAATTCCTCTTTACACATCACTATGGGCCAGTGGTCTGAGGCAAGTCTAGGGAGTGCCCTAGAAGTTAGATTCATCCAATGCTCTTCCCAATCTGTTGAAAACAGGAATCTATCTAGCTTGGAGCAAAACGGCCTAGATTGTAGGTTGGACCAGGTGAAATTGTGATTTAGAAGAGGGATTTCTTTAAGCTCAAAGGTGTCCACAAACTGATTGAAATTCCTCATGCTTGTAGTCACCCTCTGACTTGGATTATTAGTTTCCTCTTTGAACCTCACCAAATTAAAATCCCCTCCCACGCACCAAGGTCCTTCCCAGAGGCCCCTAATATCACTCAACTCTTCCCACAGTTTCTTTCTCTATCTGTAGTCGTTGGGGCCATATACATTTGTTAAGACCCAATCAAAACCATCTGCCACCTGCCTGAATTTCACAGATACTGAGTGATCTCCTATTAATTCCCCGACCCCTACAACCACATCATCTTTTCACAAAGTTACAATCCAACCTGAAGCTCCCCATGATGGAGCAGTCGCCCACCTTATCCCCCTTGATCTCCACACACCTCTTGCCCATCTATTGTCAAAATCAGATCTCTTAGATTCTTGAATTAACACCACATCCAGGTCAAACTTCTTAATCACCTCTTTGATAGTTGCTCTCTTCCTCGCACTACCCATCCCCCTTACATTCCAGCTTAGGATCCGCATTTCAAATTTAGGCTTCAACCCTAACTCACCCGAGATTTATTTAATCCCTTTCCTTCTCTCCCCTCTCACCCCAAACTTCTTATCCTCCTCAATATCTCTCCTTAACCTCTCAACTTCACTCATTTTTCTTCTTTTAATCTTACTCTCCTTTTTTTGTAGAAAGGCTTTTAGGTCATTTGGGTTCTTAAGTTTACACCATTAAATGTAGGATCGGAACTAAAGACTGTGATGCTTGTGATTATGGATAGAGGTCTATACAGGAGGTTTGCTAGTCAATTTATGAGCGAAGAAGAAGAAAAGGGGAAAGGAAAAATGAAATGAATCCAACTCACATGGAATTTGCCAACACCTGGAAAGACACCATACTACATCTCTACACATGTAGGTGGTTAAAAAGCATCAAAACCTTCCTCTTTATCCATCCTTAAAACTAACACCTTTCTGCTCCTGCCTTCTGTAGTTGTAATTTCTCTTTTGCTCCTTGGTACTTGTGCTACTTCTAGATGTACCCCCACAATATCTTCTTTCTTCAAAACATCAAAAAGAATACTCTTTTATAATATTTCAGTATTTCAAATCCTCAAAATCTTAGGGTAGGTATTCCAAATCATCATCTAGGTTTTGTCTCAACTATAGTGTCGCTTAAATGACCATAAGGACCTTGCAAAAAGTTTTAGTGCTTTCTGCCAACCTGACACAATCCTCTTCCTTTATTCAGGCTTGGGACTGGCAGTGTAAGAGCTATTCAAATGTAAACCAGATCAAAAATATTATTTAGATCAGAACCAGTAGGTGCACATATAACATATTCTAACATATTCATTTGAAACTGTGTTTTATAGATTGCATAGTACATTAATACACATTAAAGCATAATATGAATAGGCTAGAGAGTAGATAAGGAGATGAAGGGGAAGAATAAGAAGAGAAGGGGTAGAGCCAGAGATGAAGTGAATCGGTGTTTTATAACCCCTGGAAACAGCCTTTTATGGTTTTGTAAAATCTAGCTGTTTCTTGTGGTGGTTTCCAAAATGAACGCTTAGTCTTATTGAGACATTGGACAGTCATTGCTGGAATTGTATTGTTATCAAAATATAGGTTCTAGTATGCTATTCAAACAGCCTCTTTATGTACCTTTAAGTTGGTATTTATATGTATGTGAGCTCATCAAATGACTGCTTAGAACATCATCTACTATGAATTTCTGTTTGTTTTTTATATTTATACAGTTATTGGTCAATGAGTATTTTCTCTCTAATGAATCATTGTGGTGGCTATGACTGCACTATTTTTCTGTACGGAGAACGTTTTCAAAATCTTCTATTCCTTTCAGATTTTGTTCTTGACATTTTGTTGTTTGTGTGGTCGTTCCTATACCTGCACCATTTATCCCTGTGATGAATTCTTCTTCTATACTTTCCGAGTGTTGTAGGTGGTGTTCATTTAAATCCATAAACTGTTTTCAACAGGTATTGGGGCTACTTTTTATTACATCAGCCCGGGACCCAGGTATTATTCCACGTGCTTCACATCCACCTGAGGAAGAGTTCTGTTATGAATCTTCTGCTTCAGTTGAAGCTGGTGGAAGGCAGACACCAAGCTTACAATTCCCTCGGACCAAAGAAGTTATGGTTAATGGCATGCCTGTGAAGGTGAAATATTGTGATACATGTATGCTTTATCGGCCGCCCCGTTGCTCCCATTGCTCCATTTGTAATAACTGTGTGGAGCGGTTTGATCACCATTGCCCTTGGGTGGGCCAATGCATTGGAATGGTAAGCTGTTAAATGTATACATTGAAACTTTTCTGATCTGCCACAATGTCTAGTGCTCTGGGCTGTCTCCTTCACTTGTATTACGATCACCATGATAGAAATCTAACTACTTTTGTTTATGTGCAGCGCAATTACCGTTACTTCTTCCTGTTTGTTTCTTCTTCAACTATTCTTTGCATCTATGTGTTTGCCATGTCAGCTTTGTACATTAAGATCCTCATGGGTGATTATCATGGAACAGTTTGGAAGGCAATGAAAGAATCACCTGCATCAGTGGTGCTCATGGCCTATTGTTTCATTTCTCTATGGTTTGTTGGTGGTCTCACTGGTTTTCATTTATACCTTATAGGCACAAATCAGGTTTGTTTTTCTCATATTTGCACAGTAACCTTGGTTTCTTTTCCTTTCCAATATTTCCCCCTCTTTAATTGCTTTTCAACTTGGATAAGAGATTTTCCCATTTTTGTTTATTCAGTAACAGGTAAAAGGGTATTCATTTATGAGTAAACATAGAAAGTCAATAGAGGCCCCTTGGCCCAAAATAATGAGTGTGATCAACCACGAAAAACAATGGAAAACTAAGAAAAAAAGGATGGAATAGGAGAAGAGAATAGAAGAGAAGAGAGAAAAGGGGTTCGGTTGTTAGAGTTCTTCTGTGTGTTCATTCTCTAACATCCGTCCACTCTTTGTTATAAATAAAAAAGACAAATTACAGATATACCCCCACTTAAGTAAAAGACAAAAAACACAAAAAAGAAACAAGTTTGTTTATGGATCTGGCAACTGTAGGTCTGTAGCCCATCTAATGATGTATGGTACTGAGGCTCCTATGAATGGTGTAGCCCAAAGTTACATCCTTAAATATAAACAGGCCACAATGTCATAGTTCTCACAATCTTCCTTGTTCTAAGAGAATCTTAAATTCAAGCTCTACCTGGACAAATGGTCAGGTACCGGCAGTTGTCAGAAGACTAGACAGATTTCTTTTCACAGGGGACTTGGCGGAGTATGTGGAAGAATTAGTACAAGAGGCATTGACAGTGAGCATGTCGGACCATAAACAACCTGTATTTTTAAGGAACTTTGTCGCTGTGAATGAGGCTAAACCTTTTCGATTCGAAAATGAAGGATGGGGCAGTGAACATTAAAGGTTTTAGACCCATAAGTCTAATCGGCAGCCCATATAAGCTACTGGCTAAGGTGCTGTCCAGGAGGTTAAAGGGAGTGTTTCAGGAGGTGGTGGGAGAAACTCAAATGGCCTTTGTGGAGGGGAGGCAGATTTTGGATGGGGTGCTGGTGGTTAACAAGTGTATTAACTTGAGGTTGAGGAGTGGGAGACTGGTTGAAAAAGCATATGATCATGTGGAGTGGGGCTTTTTGGAGGAGGTGAAAAGATTGATGGGTTTTGGGGAAAAGTGGAGGAGCCAGATGTTTTAATGTGCTTCATCCGTTTCATTCTCTTTAGTCCTCAATGGAGTCTCTACAGAGTTTTTCCAAGCCTCTAGGGTTTGCGGGAAGGGGATCCAATTTCCTCTTTGTTATTTGATTTAGTCATGGAAGTGCTGAATTTGCTCATGGGGAAGGGTGCACGGTTGGGTTGGATTGAAGGTTTTAAAGTGGGTGCTGAAGGTTCCTGTATCACACATCTCCAGTATGTGGATGATACCCTCGTATTCTTTGATGCTTCGGTGGAACAGGTGCTGAGTTTAAGGGCCTTACCAACTAGCTTTGAAATGTTGACAGGCTTGAAGTTAATCTGAAAAAAAAAGTCAGCTGATTGGTGTGGAGGAAGTAGGAAAGGAAGAGTTGGAGCATTTGGCTACTGTTTTTGATTGCAAGATTGGGCATTTACCTTTCCTTTACTTGGGTTTACTGGTGGGAGCAAGGTTCTTGCAGCTGAAAGTTGGAGGCCAATTGTGGAAAGGGTGGAAAAGAGGCTGCAGTGGTGAAAGGAGAAATATCTTCTTTTGGGGGCAGGATTACCCTCATTAGAATTGTTTTCTCGAGTTTGCCGACGTACTACCTATCATTATTGAAAATTCCAGCTAAGGGTGTCTGAGAAAATTGAGAAATTGTAGAGGGATTTTCTATGGGAAGATCGATCAAATAAAATTTTCTATGGGGAGGGGTGGGGGGTCCCAGGACTGGGTTTTAGGAAAACAAGAATATTTAACAAGGATCTCTTGGGTCTGAGAAATAGGTGGACTGGGTTGTGGAGGTTTGCGTCTGAGAAGGATGGTTTGAAGGAAAAAGTAGGGAAAGGTAGGGAAACCTATACAAGGTTTCTATAGGTTTCCCTACCTTTCCCTTCCTTTCCCTACTTTTTCCTTCAAACCAAACATAGCATTAGAGAAGGGTGGTGAGGTTTGGGTGGGTGACGAGGGAGGTCTCAAATTCTTATGGAGTAAGTGTCTGGAAAGGGATTATGCAGTTTAGCCAGAATTTTAGAGACTTAATGAGCTTCAAGGTGGTAGGTGTGAGCAGGAAGTTAGAGAAGATGATGAGAGATTTTCTTTGGGACCCAAGGGAAGGAAAGAGGGATCATAGGATTGGCTGGGAGGTGGTCAGTAGAGATAAAAATATAGAGGGGTTGGGGAAATAGCTATGGAGAACGCCACAAAATGAGGACAAATAATGGGCAAAGGTGATAGTGAGTTTTCATGGACTTTCAGACAACGGTTGGGATGCTGGAGCATTGGCTAGGACAAATCGAGCTTCTCCTTGGAATGTCATCAATACAGTACTACCGCTTTTTCATTCCTTTTACAAGACACAATCTTTGTAGTGGTAATTGTATTAAATTTTGGGAACATGTTTGGTTGGGGTCTTCCCCTTTGAAGGAACAATTTCCCTCACTTTTTGCACTCACTAGTTTTAAAAATGAGCATGTTTCTAAATTTCTGGTTCCTTCAAATTCAAGTAATGGCTTTAATTGGGATTTGGGCTTTTGGAGGGGTATAAGAGACTTCAAACTCTAGAATGTATTTGCACTACTTAAACTGTTGGAAGAAGTTTTTCTTGATCCTTTTAAGTCTGATAACTGCATTTGGACATGTACTCCTAGTTCTTTTTCTTGTGCTTCTTTTTTCAAAGCCATATCACAACCCTTCTTTAGCTCTTTGCCTTCTTTTCCAATTAAGGAGGTATGGTATAAGCCTATTCCTCCTAGAATTGGTTCTTTTTGTTAGGAAGTTGTCCATTAAAAGATTTAGTACTTTTGATTTACTTCAAAGAAAACGACCAAAGTGGTGCTTATCCCCTCATTGGTGTACCTCGTGTAAGGCTAATGGTGAGAGTTGCTATCACTTATCTCATTCTTTCATTGCTTCTATTTGGGAATGGTTTTTCTTCTTGTTTGGTTGTAGGTGGAATCATCTGGCGGGTTTTCATGCCTTTTTACTCCGACTACCTTTTCATGGCCAAAGAAAAGGGGAAGACTCATGTGGAGATGTTTAATAGTGGCAACAATTTGGACAATTTGGGAAGAAAGAAATTCTAGAATTTTTCTAGAGGATAGAAACAAGATATAATGGAAATAATAAATATTAGAGTGGCACATTGGCTGAAATCCATGGAAACTTTTTTCAAATGTATCAATGGATGATATACTCAGAAAGTGGAAGGAAGTGGCTGAATCTTTCTCAACTAAGACTCTCTAGTTACCGATGATCTCCACTGGAAAGAGGGTTAATCAAACTTAACTTTGACAGTAGTAGTATGGGAAACCTAGGAATCTCAGGTATTAGTGGAGTGTTTGGAGATGAGGAGGGCATGATAATCACCCTATACTCAGGACCAGTTGGGGAGGGAGATTCTTAGAGCAGAAGTATTGGCTTTGGTAGAAAGTGTACAGAGGGATAAAGAATTAAGCATTAGGAAATTGATTATTGAGGGTGATTTGAAAATGGTAGTGAGCTGAAGACAAAGTGAAGAATTGAAGCTATGGATCTACATCAATGAAAAGAAGAAATTCAGATGGTTGACAAGAGATATGGAAGTGTCTTTCAGTTGGATTAAGCGATGTACTAATTTCTTAGCCAATGCTTTAGCCAAACAAGGGGTGGGAAGGGAGACTTTGTTTTGGGCACAGTTGTAAGGGGATTTGTTGTGGGGAGAGATAAGAGAATTTGTCTCTCAATGACTTATTTTACTTTTTACAGTTTGTATTTCTATACTATGTAAATCCTTTCTACCTTTCTTTAATAAATTATGCAGTTATTGATCAAAAAAATTAAAACACATAAACATAACATGCAAAACATATTTAAAAAATAAAATCAAACACATAAACATAACACGTCAGCATACACATTTCTGACACTCATTTTTCGGACATGTTTCTTGACTGCCCAACACTCCACTCCATACAACATAGCTTCTAGCTGGCCTTACAACTGTTTTGTAGAAATTTTCTTTTAATCGAAGTGGTATTTGCCTATCATATAAAACTCCAAGTGCACCCTCCATTTTTCCAATCTTGTTCTAATTCTGTGGTGACATCCTCCCCAGTCTCTCCCTTCCTTGTTATCCCTTCCTTGTTATGAATTATTGAACCAAGGTACTGAAAAAGGTCACATTGAGTTGGGTATGCAATTAATCACACACAATCATTGATATGGAATGGAGAGAAGAGAAGAGAAGAGAGAAGAGTGAAGGGACAAAGGGTTCTTCTTTCCCGCCACAAGATGGAAAGAACTAGTGATTGAAGCAAAGAAGATGCTGATGGAAGATGGAAAAGGTAGAGGACAAATCTCTTTGAAAGTTAGAGAAGAATGAAAATCTACAGTTTTCTTGATTGGTGGAGCGATGCAATGGCTGAAAGGATTCATCGATGGGGCTCTATATTCTGTCAAGAAGGTGGGTTGTAAAAGCTCCTTGGAATTGCAAAGAAGGAAATATCAGGGCGAATTGGGAGAAAATCACAAGGGATGGTTCATGGCAGTCTCAAAGTTCTTTGGTTCTAACAAGAAACAACTAGTCTATTTTCCAGAAGGGAAAAGGGGTAGGGGATGTAAGATGGTTGAAGACAAAGCGATTGGGAAGACCTAAGGCAAGAGAAGGTGTATCAATCGGAGCTAGAAGATAGTATTGGAAGTGTCAACGCTGCTAAAACGTGCATCTTGTGGGACGATGAAATGCTGGGAACAGAGTTGTTGTTCGAAGACCCTTCTACATATGCCAGCGTGGCTCCAAGAGAAGAATTCGATGATGGTCCTGCCCCAGTCTTAGTGGTGAACTCAATTTCAATCAGAAGGGAAGATGGAGAACTCCTAGGGGAGGCATGACGTCAAGATATTAATAAAGGAGTGTCGGATCTTGGTACTAACCCAAACAAAGAAGCACAAGAGGAACATAACATC